TTAATGTTGGCCTGATGGTTTTAAAACCACTCAATGAGATGACACCTCATTAATGTTGGCCTGATGGTTTTAAAACCACTCAATGAGATGACACCTCATTAATGTTGGCCTAATGGTTTTAAAACCACTCAATGAGATGACACCTCATTAATGTTGGCCTGATGGTTTTAAAACCACTCAATGAGATGACACCTCATTAATGTTGGCCTGATGGTTTTAAAACAACTCAATGAGATGATACCTCATTAATGTTGGCCTGATGATATAAAAAAAAAATATTTTTTTAAAATTCTATTAATAGTATGATTTAATTTGTGCTTTTAATGTTGTGTTTTTAATTCATCTTGCTACGCCCCGTGAACGAAAATATAGCGAACATAATCAGATCGCGATATCGTTAACCCTTGAAGGCACTGACCGGCCTCAACCACCCCCACCCCAAACGCTGTCCGAACTCTTGACCCTCTCTTCCTAACTATAATAAGTTCACGGGCTCCAATGAACTTGAGACTGCTGGGAATATAAGGACACAGGGGGTGGGGGGGGGTGGACAAGTGGGACGGCACTACGTTACACCCACGTTAAGTAACTAAATGGTGGAACAAGATAAGTTTAGAAGTGAGCGGACAATTAAAGGGACGTTTCGGCTAAACGCCGTCTTCGGCATAAAACAGAAAAAAAAAGATAAACCAAATTATTTGAAATATTGAAAACGTTAAGTGTTTCACGTTCACAAGTAAGCTCTCTCACTCTCTCTCGGTTTCTCTCAGTCTCTCCCAGTCTCTCTCAGTCCCCTCAGTCTTTCTCAGTCTTTCTCAGTCTCTCTCGGTTTCTCTCAGTCTCTCCCAGTTTCTCTCAGTCCTCTCAGTCTTTCTCAGTCTCCCTCACTCTCTCTCAGTCTCTCCTAGTCTTTCTCAGTCACTCTCAGTCTCTCCCAGTCTCTCCGAGACTTTCTCAGTCTCTCTCAGTCGCAATGTAGCTCTCTCAGCCTAAATATAGCTCTTTCAGTCTCTCACAGTCTTTCCCAGTCGTTCTCAGTCTCTCTCAGTCTCTCTCAATCTCTCCCAGTCTCTCTCAGTCTCTCCCAGTCTCTCTCAGTCTCTCCCAGTCTCTCTCAGTCTCTCTCAGTCGCAATGTAGCTATCTAAGTCTTAATGCAGCTCTTTCAGCCTCAATATAGCTCTCTCAGTCTCAATATAGCTCTCTCAGTCTCAATAAAGCTCTCTCAATCTCTCTCAGTCTCTCCCAGTCTCTCAGTCTCTCTCAGTCTCTCGCAGCCTCAATGTAGCTCTCTAAGTCTCAATGTAGCTCTCTCAGTCTCTCCCAGTCTCTCTCAGTCACTCCTAGTCTCTCTCAGGCTCTCTCAGTCTCTCCCAGTCTCTCTCAGTCTCTCCCAGACTCTATGTCTCTCACAGACTCTCTGTCACTCTCAGTCGCAATGTAGCTCTCTAAGTCTTAATGTAGCTCTTTCAGCCTCAATATAGCTCTCTCAGTCTCAATATAGCTCTCTCAATCTCAATAAAGCTCTCTCAGTCTCTCTCAGTCTCTCTCAGTCTCTCTCAGTCTTTCTCAGTCCCAATGTAGCTCTCTAAGTCTCAATGTAGCTCTCTCAGCCTCAATATAGCTCTCTCAGTCTCAATATAGCTCTCTCAGGCTCAGTATAGCTCTCTCAGTCTCAATTTAGCTCTCTCTCTCTCTCTCAATATAGCTCTCTCAGTCTCAATTTATCTCCCCCAGTCTCGATGTACCTCTCTCAGTCTTAAGGTATCTCTCTCAGTTCACACTGAACTGTTTGCCAAACATTCAATACAACTTAGACGTTCACACTGAACTGGCTGGAAAACATTCTGGGCAACGAAGCCTTATTTTATTATTATTTTATTCATTTATTTTATTCATTTATTTTATGTTTTGCCATCATTTGCCCCCGAACTATTGCCAGCTTTTTTCAAGACTTCGCATTTGTTCACTATTATTGAATTACATAATGTTTCGTTTACTGAAGAGGATTTGTTTGCTTTGTTCTGTCTGCACTAACCCACCCCCACCGCGCCCCCCCCCATCGCTCCATTTACACTTTGACCTTAAGCCCAGGTTACACGGTAAACAAGGCTTAGGTAACTAACGCCATGTCTGGCATTGGTCAGAATAAAATGCTAAATGTCTGGACTCACAAGAGTATCTCCACCAGCTAAACTTGGCGGGTCAATGATAATTAAATAGATTTGCCGAAAGAGGTTGCAGATGTGGTAAATGCCAGGACTGGACGTTTCGGCGGGGATTAGACTAACGATATTGTGGAAGTTTGTCTGTCCACGAGGTGAGGACTGGTCGATTAGTTAGGGATCGGTCGGTTAAGGGAGGAGATAGGTAGGGGTTTGAGTGATGAGGAAGACATTGAGCAATGAGGAAGAGAGTGGGCGATCAGGGCGGTATTGCATGGCGAGGAAGGGATGGGGTGATGAGGTGGCGATTGGATGAAGAGGAAGAAATTTGGCAATAGCGGAGGAGGGGATTGGACAGCAAGGAGGGGATTGGACGAAGAGGAGGCGATTGGACGACGAGGAGGCGATTGGACGAGGAGGAGGCGATTGGACGACGAGTCGAGGGATCTCGTATAATGAGGTGGAGATTGGAAGATATTGGACAGTGAGGTGGTGAATTTCGTCCTTTAATGAGAATATCTATTGAAATTACTCTCTACACTTGTATAAACAGCGTGAACAAAAATGAAGCGTTTGTTTCGTGGGGGTTATGATCTAGCGTTACGGCCACTCGTCTGGTTTTCGCCGAGGGAAAACATCTCAGCCATGGACATGATCTAAGGATAGTATGGCTGTGTCTGCTTGATGCAAATAGGACATATTCTTATTCCTTTTTCCTATTTTTGTTTGGTTAGCAGACAGAACGGAAGGATGGACACATTTCACTTAACATATCCCCAACAGCGGGATAGCCACAGTCTCCTTGATTTCAACTTACCTCGTGTCTTATAAAATCATTGTCTGTGTAATACGTCACTACTGACTTAATGAACTCATAACAGAAGTACTAGGACGAGAGAAAACTGAATGACAGAGAGTTCAAGTCTCATCGTATTAAATACTTAAGGGCAAGAAACAAAACTATTCCCAAAAATAAAAAAAGTTTTAAAAAAATATTTTAAATTAAAAATTAAAAACAAAACCCACACAGTTAGAGCTTCAATATAGTTTCCAAATTTTACTCTAAGATTTTTTTTTTTGGACACTCCGCTAATGTCAGTGTTCCAGAGATGTTTATATCTTTATAAGTTTTCAGTAAGATGATCAAATTTGTTGTTAGGAAGATGATCGAATACTTCATTTACTGTACGTAAGATGATCGAAAACGTCATTTGTTGTACGTAAGATGATCGAATCTTTATTTTTTTTTTTCATTGAGATAATCGAATACCTAATTTGTTGTTAGCATGACATAAACAGTTTTGCTGTAAATAAGTTCCATAGAATTTGTTTCTTAACGTAGTTAATTTTGGAAATAGTTCACACAACCAAAAGATCTGCTACTCATTGGTTTGGATCCCGTTAGTTTGATGTCAATTCTATTTTTGGTTCTTAAACCGAGAAAAAATAAGGTACAATACCTGCAAGGGAATTTTAAAAAAAAATCCATTTGTTTTTGACGGTTAAAAAATAAATTAATGATTTTATCGTATTCAAGATTGAAGAGTTTATGGTTAAAATCTCATCATCTCACAAATTTTATTTTTTAAAAGACCTTTAAAAAACCACACTTAAAAAATAGCGTCGGGAAAGCTGGCGGTTTAATGTTAATGTTTTTTAAAATTTTTTTATAACTTTTAAAAATAACCAAACAGAATAACGAACAACGAAAGATCTGATCTTGCCTGATGAAGATATCTTGCATAGCGCTGGTGCTTGTGTGATTCTAGCACGCTCAAAGCGCTGTGACGTCGTAAAATCTGTTTAAAGAAACATGTCTTTAAATGTCTCCGAAATGATTGTTTATAGTTTTTTTTTTAATTTCCCTCAAAGACTGAGGCAAACTGTTCCATAACATGGGCGGTATTGATTCAAAGGAGCGCACACCGAATGACTTCTTTTTGTGTCCATCCACACTGGGAACTCTGAGTAGGGACTGTGATGAAGAGCGCTGGTTCTTTAAAGATACATGTTTGGGAATAGGTTCTTTCAGAAAATCAGGTACGCCGGGAACATAATGTTGGGGTTAGTGTGCTCACTCACAGCAAGCCAATGTTGTCAGATTTCTTTATCCTCGATACAATGCGTGCTGCAGCATCTGTACCTTCTGGAGTCTCTTAGGCTGGTTTTGAGGTAACTACCAAAGACAACTGTTACAGTAATATAATCTTGATGGAATAGAGTGACTGCTGCGGCTATTGGCTGTTCGCTTTTTAAGTTGAGGAAGCAAATGACCCAAGGAGCGTAGATGACAGGAAAAAAAAAAGCCTCGACAACAGAACTTATATGAAGTATCATTGTGAGTTTGCTGTAAGTGTAGAGGCCAAGGTCTCTAACAGTGTAGGACAAGGGGGGATCTCAGAAGCATCAACCTTTATTGATGCGATGGCAACCTTCCGAACAGTGGCATCTGAACCACACATAATTGCCTCTGTCGTAGCGTCATTAATGCTCAGTTCACACGATCAAATTTTCGTAAAAATTTTTTAGGAACGCACTATTTTGTGTGAACTGAGCATTCCATAAAGTCTGTTTGATGCCATCCATGATTTCACCACAAGACAGCAGTCTAGAACCCATGAGGTTTAGCTCAGTGGCACTGCCCTCTTAATGTTACTTTCATTCCGCAATATCGGGAGAGTACCTTACCATTTCTAAATTGATTTTACGGTTATTGATATTGTTTTGGTCCTGTTCATGTTTCTGAAATTAAATACCAAAATACACGTTCTTGCTACTCTCACGACTGTGACATTTCTAATGTGGTACCATTTGTGTTTCTCCATTTCCTCCAGGTAAAATCGTCGTGTTCTCTGAAAATGCAGCCCACCATTGCTCCGTGCTAACTCTTCTCGCCATCGGGTTCGAGCGATACCACGCCATCTGCTATCCTATGAGAGAAACCTTTGGGGCGAGGCTAAGTTCTGAAAATATCCTCATCCCCATGGTGTGGATCCTGTCTTGTGTAGCGACCTTGCCCTTTGCCATTTACTACGGCACAGAGGTAAACTCGTTTTTTTTAACTTTATAATTGAATGTATTTCTGAAATGTGTTTGTGAAGAGAATTCATTGAAATATCGTCTCACCTCAGTGACGATGTAACGTTGTTTAGTTAAATAGCCAGGGGTATCAATATTCCAGGTTTTAATTTGCTAGTAATCAAGTGTAAAGCGGATTGGTGATATTTCTCTGGATACATCTGGATAAATAGTTATGGATTTGATATGGGAATGCTGCTTATCAGATTATTATGATTATATAGTTGATAGACAGGAGACCCATGGGACATGAGTTGACTGGACATGCAACAAACATGAATCCAACGTAGCTGGGGTTTTAAAAGATCCTTTATATTAACTTCGCTTTTGTACCTGGCTGTCAAAATCTTCGGACGGCTACTTGACCCATGTCACTTAACCTATCGAGCTGAAACTTGGCACATAGGCTCGTTGCCGGTGACAAAACATTGTTTCAAATTTTCAGCTCCAACCTCAAAAATCAGTTTTAGCTTCTTCTTCCTCAAGGGGAAGATGAGAGAAATGTGATGAAAGTGATTTTACGAAATACAATTTCCTACAACTGCGCTAAATGAGATTCTTTAAAACAAAAAAATCGCAAGTGCGTAATATTTTCTTTTGTTTTTCTGAGATATTTGGTGAAGTAAATCAGCGGCTTAAAAGCGGGTGGGTTATTAGAATATAAATATAGTTCAGGGGCGGGGACAACATGTGTGAATGCGAGCCATGGGGAGGGGGAGCCCTAATTGGGATTCAAATAAAGTGCGTTATTTGTATGCATGTTCTGTCAAATTTTCAGCCTTGCCTTCCTCCCCCCCCCCATGCTCGATATTACATTTTATAAAGGATTTTGTAATAAATATGTTTTGTTTTCTTTTTTGAAGGCCCGTGAATTCATCGATGGGAGCATGGCAGACCTGTGCACAGTGAAAGGAATCAGCAAAAAACTACAAGAGGCTTACATTATATTTATTTTTACAGTTTTCTTTGCCTTGCCCTTGGTTCTTCTGACCGTCATGTACTCGGGCATCTCGCTTACCATCGCGACGAGCATCATCCCTTCCGTGGACAGTGAAAGCAGCTTCAACGGAAGTCATCGGCCTCGGCTGCCCGAGCGGAGCAGCATCAGCAACTACAAAGTCATCGCGGGCAGGCGCCAGGTCATCAAGATGATGGTGGCCGTGATGCTGACGTATTTCATCTGTCTCCTCCCTCTCCGCTGCATGCAGGTGTGGGCCCTGTTCGCCTCCGACAGTGACTTCACGACCTTGGGCCAGGAGGTGTATCTCAATCTGATCAACTCCAGCCGCATCCTCATGTACTTCAACAGCGCATGTAACCCGATTATTTACGGTCTCCTGAGCTCGAACTTTAGAGCCGCTTTCAAGCAGTCCTTCCGCAACTGCAGGATCAGCAGCAAGGACCGGTGGAAGTACAACACGGCGCACTACAACGACAAGCAGAGCCAGTTTTCTGTTTACCAGCAGACGCACGCCAGCTGCAAAATGGACCAGATGGATTCAACAGACTTTACAGAAATCAAAGAAATGAGATTACCGCTAGCCGCATTTAGCCCGACTGAGGGCCGCCACCTGTCCATTCATTTACCAAAAGGATGTAAGAAAGCCTTAGAGAGTCGCATGCTCAAACAAAAAGTTCTGACATAGTCATCGTGGGGAACGATCCCCGTCCATGCAGAGCGACGCAAAAGAGAAATTCATCTATAACATTTCTAGACTTATTTGAACATTTAACAAAAAAAAAAAAAATCGCCAAAAGTTTGAAGATGGCCAAGTAAGCCCTCTTGTTGGACTACCACCAACAGTAAATACTACCGGTTCATTCGGGAGAACAACCTGATGGTGGTTGTCAAAAATGATGGCCAAGTAAGCCCTCTTGTTGGACTACCACCAACAGTTTTATGATGGCCAAGTAAGCCCTCTTGTTGGACTACCACCAACAGTTTTATGATGGCCAAGTAAGCCCTCTTGTTGGACTAATGCCAACAGTTTTATGATGGCCAAGTAAGCCCTCTTGTTGGACTAATGCCTTGCATGTTCTGTTAATATCAGGTTGTTTCTATTTAATGTTTCGACAACCCTGCTGTTTCAAACTGTGAATCACCCATAAATAATTTTTATTACTTACTATTAAAGTTTGAAAACTTTATTATTGTTATATAATGTGGGGGTGATGACTATATATGTATTAATATGCTACGCTCTGCTATCATCCTTGAAGACTTTCTTGGTGGAATAAGCCACAAAATATATTTCAAGATATTACAGTGTGTGTTTTCCATCGTTCTCGACAGTTTACAGAGACACAACACAATTTGTTGATACGATGCTTAAGAGCAACACAATACTCTTTTGAGCGACCAAGGTAAACTAACATCCAGAAATCCTCCTAGAACAGAACAAATATTCATACATAAAGTATTGACAGCTCATATAAATTTCAAACTAATGACACGTGCATTGGGTGGCCGAGTGGTCTAAATTGGGCCAATCTCAGGTTGCTCGTCTGGAGTTTTATTCCGGCCAAAGCCCAGTCAAGCAAAAACACCACCAGCCCACCTTGGATGGCAACTCATCTAAGAGAATTAAACTCTGAATTTCAAAACCCGGAGTATTGTAGCTGGATAACAATGGTGCAATGCAACATTCCGACAACTCCTGCGACGCCACTGGTGCCAAGCTGTATCATCCAAATGATGTTCCCTTGGGCTATCCAGCGGCGTGGAGAGAGGCGATTTGCTGTTGACTGTTTGCCACTTCAATTTACAATGTCATAAAACTCGTATAAGAAATGCCAAAACGTTGTCAACCCTGTGGCTATGTAAGTCTGTTTGTGGTTCCTCCTTTTATGGGCATGTAAATCTGTTTTTAGGCCCCGCCCCCTTTTTTATATGGGCATGAAAGTCAGTTTCTAGACCTCCTTTTTTAAAACTTAATATAATAGGAGTTTGTTTGTCCTGGATGGAGTAATTTGAGTTAGTATTTCTCTACTTTCCTGACATCACAGAAAACTAAACTTTTTAAAATATCTAAATTTTGCGGAGCATTTTGCTGCATAAATTATTTAGTGATTATGTTAAGACAAAAATATAATTCCCTTCTCTAAATTATTGTTCAATTAAATGACCTTTAAAAAAATACTTTGAAATATTTTGTGCATACAAATACACAACGAACCAAAGAGACAACCTTTAGAAAAGCTTTGCGTTTTCAGTATATTCAATTGCCTCCCCTTGTAAATGAATTTTGAAATCAAGTCGGGGTGCATGCACCTTTGTAAAGATACGTGCAATAGTGTGAAATTGGCAGAAGTTTAAGATACATTCCTGGTTGGAGAGTTTAAAATCCGTATGAATCTGCGTAAAAGTAGAAGAAAAAAAAGTCGCCTCCCTTAATGGAATTTTCTTTGACGGAATTTGTTTGTCTTGGTTGAACTGCTAGACGGGTTTGTTTGTCTTGGTTGAACTGCTAGACGGGTTTGTTTGTCTTGGTTGAACTGCTAGACGGGTTTGTTTGTCTTGGTTGAACTGCTAGACGGGTTTGTTTGTCTTGGTTGGACTGCTAGACGGGTTTGTTTGTCTTGGTTGGACTGCTAGACGGGTTTGTTTGTCTTGGTTGAACTGCTAGACGGGTTTGTTTGTCTTGGTTGAACTGCTAGACGGGTTTGTTTGTCTTGGTTGGACTGCTAGACGGGTTTGTTTGTCTTGGTTGAACTGCTAGACGGGTTTGTTTGTCTTGGTTGGACTGCTAGACGGGTTTGTTTGTCTTGGTTGAACTGCTAGACGGGTTTGTTTGTCTTGGTTGAACTGCTAGACGGGTTTGTTTGTCTTGGTTGAACTGCTAGACGGGTTTGTTTGTCTTGGTTG